TATAGTTGATGCCCATAAATCAGGCGAAATTTTTTGTCCTTCGCATTGGAAGTGCTAGTCCGTCCTCGGGTTATGTAGTTGATGGAAGTGAAATCCCTGTTGTCGCTCATCAGATTAATCTAGGTATCGTCCACACCTCAAGGCTTCATTCTGGGGACAATTGGAGGAAGACCGCTTGTAGAGAGTTCCGTATGATGTGGTTGATTCGCCGCTCCTTCGGTGTCCTAACGGCTGATATCTTTGTGAAGCTGTTCTCAGCTTTTGTGTGACCCCACTTAGAGTGCTGTATCCAGACCTGTCCACCTTGTCTTTCAAGGGACAAAATGGAGCTGGAGAGGGTTTTTCGATTGGCTACAAGGTTAGTGCATGGATTATGGGGGCAAACGTATCCCGAACGTTTGCTTAGCTTGGGTATGTACTCAATGCACTACCGGAGAATTAGAGGAGACTTGATCCTCACTTACCGTATCATAACGGTTAAGATCGATCCAGACTTGTCCTGGCTATTTAGCCTCGCCAAGCTGCCACGTCTGTGAGGTCACCCGTTGAAGCTACACAAACTGCCTTCTGACCGGGTAAGGACGGAAACTCGCTTGTCGCGTCGAGTTATTGCATGTTGAAACTCGCTTCCGGAGCACGTCGTTAGTGAGTCTACGGTTGATGGTTTCGAGCGTCAGTTAGATGTTCTTGGATGGAAATGCCAAACCTACCTCTTCTCCTAACCGACTTGTATCTTCAACTTTGTTCCTTTTTGCTATTTCTTCTCGTCCACTGGTGTTTTCATTATTAAACTGGCATTCCTCTTGTTTTCTTAGCTTACTCTTCTCTCTTGCTTCACATAAACCGGCCTAGCAGGCACTGTTGGGCAAAAAATGTGGGCAGTAATTGGTTAGACAGGGTGTTGCAGTCTTTGTTTTAAGCTTTCCAACGTCCCAAGCAGACCTATCAATTCCCGATCCAACGATGCGCAAAAGAAGAAACATTCACGGGATTATCCTATCGTTCCGGTCCCAACTGCACTTGAACTTGATGTATACAAACATGCAATGCCTTACTTGCTTTGAAGCCGCGGAAATCAGAAGTCGAAGTATCGGGGGCTCTTGTTCGCTTATCGGTGCGAGAAATTGGTTACTCGTTAGGTGGAGGCTTGTGTCATCGTTGGAACCTGACCTCACCCACCTATCCGCCGTAATTCAGTTGGTGCATGGGGTCCGCCAATATCACTTTTCCATACCGGTTCACCAGGGATCGCATCATGGAAGGCACGAAAAACACCTACCGAATTTCCTGACCTTTGCGCACCATCGTGCCCTGCCCACGCTTTCTCACTAGTCTGGTTACATCCTTCCCCTATCATCATTGCATAGTGCGGTGATGCCGACGCAACTTTATTAAGTCATTCCGGGTCATACAAATCCCAAATTGTCACCGAATATATGCCCGCATTTCCGTGGTGTGTCTGAAGCTTATCATCAGCAGGAAATTCCCGTGTATGTTCCTTCATGAAAACTCCTTGATCCAGGGTACATATCGACGGCAATTTCGGGAAATCTGGGAGAGCCAAAGTAACACGCACGAATCACACCATGGTCAACTAATTAATGCCTACGTGACCTGCACTCGCAGTCCCCGCTGCGCTGGCCATCCACCACAGTTTCAGCATGAGTTCGGAGGTTTCTGCTTGGGTACTCTATGACTCACATTTTTTACCTCGAACAGCCGTTCGATAAATCTTTGGTTCACTCCTGAGGTCAGCATTTTCAACATTTTGGTATCATGCTTTAAGTTAAGCAGTCTCTGGCATTCAGGAGCAATGTCCTGTAATGTCAAATGGGGGTTTCTGCTCTAATTTGTGTAGGATGCGTATGCGCACAGTAGCATCGGCATGAGACTGAAGACTGCAAACAAATATGAGACTTCTGAACTGACCAAGTGTCATCGTACCGAGTTTAAAACGTTCACATTCTCGGTTCACAACTCCAGCATGTGTTATAAAATCATGGTTATCACGTTTGAGCAACTTTAAACAGTTGTAACAGATACTGAACAAAGATGCTTGCTCACCTAAAATGGACGTCAGAATTTGCACAGTCTTATCGAAGCGGAAATCTCTTGGATTCTTTTGCAGCACAAAATTGGTATAGCATTCATGCTCAACTGCACCAAGTTTACGCAGCAATAACCGAACTTTCCATGCATCATCTTGCGCCGCCAACTCAACACGGAAAATATCTTCATATTTCTTGAACCAGGAATCAAAAGTTACTCCGTTTGGTTCATCAAAAACGAACTGCTTGATTGCTGTCGTGACCGCGTCTACTGAAGACCGTGTGCCAGCAGCTTGGGGCTCAGATTGAACGTTCAGCTTATGCTCAAATAACTCGAACACTTGCCTCTGGGATTTCTCGAACTGAGCGGCTGCTGATGGAGAAGCTGCTGCATCTGCTCAAATGAAATGGACATTATTGTGCAACACCGTTGCCAGAATATGTTGTATCCTCAGGGGTTCGACTTAGCAGCTTCTTAGTTTGCGCCACGCTAGTCAAAAGACAACCCAACGGACGAGAAGTATATTTGCGAAACAGAACGGGCCGACGTGGGAATGAAAACACACCGACTACAGTTCAAATCACGGCTGTATGCTAGTTTGAATTTATCGATCTCAAAGCATCACGGAACGTGTGAGTGCTATGAAACAAGCGGTAGTAACAAATGTTCTGCAGCTCAGAAAAGCACTAGTCTGCTTGTAACTGAGACTGTTCTGATACAATGCACACGGTTACTTGGGGAAATTGCGCACTTACCTTCCCGAACAAGTCAATTTGTTTCGTTTCTGTACGCATTTGACTTTGGTCTGACCTAACATCGGTGCGGAATGGGACTAAGAGTTACAGGTGGAAAAGAAAGAAGAGAGACGCCAGCATTAGCATGTTTTCGCTTATCTGCCCTGCTGTGTGTAGCAGATAAGGCGACCTTTGATAATCTGCATGACGGCCGGTGCAGGATGTAGTTAGAGTTTGCGGCACAGTAGCTGAGGTGTTTCCCACCCCTAGCTGACGTGTAAAATGATGATGATGTAGTTAGAGTTTGGAGAAAAAGCCATGGTTGTATGTGGGCTGAGATACTGCCAGGGCGCCCAGACTTAGACAGGAAGATGATTAGGGTCCTCATGCAAATCGTTTGGCTGAAAAGCCTGTCCGCAAGGCAGCGGTGAGGTGGCAATGATCTAGTTTTACAGAAATCGATGCCATCCCATTTCAAACCCCTTACAGGTTGGCCTGGATGACTAGGAGACTGAGTTTGTTTGACCTCTCATCATTGACTAACCTGGTATGAGTAGCTCTCAAGGGACAGGAGGCATCACCCAGTATAGCTCAATGGGTCAAGGAGGTACGCAAACCGTCACACCTCCTTAAGGTCCAGTCTCGTTGCGACTTGTGAGTAACAACTGTCGTTCCTCTCTCTAATGATGGATATCATACTTTGTGCGAAAATCATCGAAGCATTGGCCTTGTTTTCGTTGCATCCAAACTTCTTACAAGTATTATTCTCCGACGACCTACTGATTTCCGTGGGAACTGAATCACTGGAAGCCAGGCTGACTTCCGCCCTAGTGATATTTCTTTCGATCACGTATCCACTATTCGCCAATTTTCAGTGCAGACAAGTATACATACAACCAGCTATTTTTGTTTGCCTTGACCTGCAAAACCGTCTTCGACTTTGTTAACGCGCCAGCTTGTGGCGCCGCCTATCCATGCAGGGGATGTTGGCTAAACTCCTTTGCATTATCCTGAAACATTGTAAGGGTTTACGGTAAATTGTCTTCAAAGTTCCTCATGGCAAGTGGGCTTCATCAATGTTGTCCTGTATCTCCTTTCTTGCTCAACTTTGTGATCGAAATGATCATGAATCACGCAGTTCTTTCTGACTATTATTGAATGGAAGTTCCGCCAGGCGACCGGCTTACGAACGGCGTATGTGGGCCCATAGTTCTCCTTGGGCCTAATGCACTAGCTATGCAAGCAATACTGCACAGACTAGTGCGTGGCGCTGCACGTTTCAGCACGTACTTTGCACCTTCCAAGTGTAAAGTGCTTTTGCAGGATTGGGTCGGCACTCTCCCGTTTTAGGTATCAGCGAACAGCCACTGGAAGTGATGGATCAGTTCACTTACCATGGTAGCTGTGTCACCTCTGATGATCACATCACTGAAGTGTTTACATCACATATCAACAAGGCCTGTGTGGCTTTCCAGAGGCTCAAATATCTATGGAGACGGTGGGATATCGGATTGTTAATGAAAGGGTGTATAAGGCTGCGGTCAGACAGGTCTCGCTGGGTGGATCAGAGACCTGGTCAGTTCGCGGTGAAGACATCAAACGCTTGGCCGTGTTTGACCACTGGTGCTTTCGAGGTATTACTCACGTCTGTTAAAAAACTGGGTGAGCCATGCTGAGGTTCACCACTTGTTTTTTCACAATAAGCCTTCTGATTCCTCACTTGTGTGTTTGTCTAGTCTTAATCGCTTACGTAGGCTAGGTCATGCCCGTTGATCGGCTTCCTTTGCGTGCATTATACACCGTGGATATATCAAATTGGACGAAACCACAAGGTGGCCAATCCGTGACGTGACGAAACTGAAGTCTCGTAACCCTCTACCTGTCCCCCACAACATTGCCGTTCCGCCGGCTTACCTGTATCATGTTAAAAGATAAAAAAGGTCGATGAGTGCTGCTTCCATTGCTTTTGTTTCTACCTACTCTTGCCTCATTGGTTTTCCCTGGTACTATTTGTCCTGCCTTCAGCACTACTTTCGTTGTCCTCTTACTAGGTTGTGATATGCGCATCCAACCACCTACGTGGTACTTTACCTTTTGTTGCAGCTCCAAGGGTCTGTTACGACTCACTTTATTAGTTGGTTACGAAATTTGAACGCCAGACCAGAGAAAGATTACACAGAAATCACAGCTTTCCGCTCATAAGCTTTCAAAGTAACCATGATGAAAGCTGAAGCACCTGTTGATGAATCGTCTGCCTCGTTGGGAAGTACTCTCTTGCGGCCTCTCTCCACGGTATTTAGATTTTCATCACCTATCTCTGCAGTTTCACCAAACGTTGATTGACCGTCTTGCTCCACATAGAATTATACGTTGGCTCATTGCGTTCTTTTTGTTATGTCTCTACATCACCCGTGTGGCATACCTCCAGGTAAATCAAACTTGTCATTTACTTCCCAGGGCTTTCACATCATCAGCTACGCCCTTGCTATTTATTTGCTCAGTCTTTTCATAGCTTCGATATCCCCCAAGGTTGATCCTGCGTTCGCTGAAATATTTGGTAGCATTTTACTGACTTATTCATATTGTTTAGACGAAGCACCCACTCTACCCCGGACTGAAGGTGACGAGTTCAGACCGTTCATCCCCAGATTGTTGGAGTCGAAATTCTGGTATGTTTACATCCTCTATTTTTCGCCGCGCCATGCTTCTATTATCTTACGTTCTATTTAGTCGGAAAAACTGGATAGTCCAGAAAAAAGCCAACGAGACATTTCCGCCGCTGCAGACCAGACTGTGCGCTTAGGTGTCACACCCCACCGCACTCCAGTCCACGGTTCTCGTCCCACGAAGAAATCCGGGCGTCCTCGTTGGCAACACCTAGCCAAGCGTTTGGGGACCAACCCGTTCATAGCCGTCTGCGGCTGACGGCGACTGACTGTTCCTTGGGCCAGGAAGGGGCCTTGGGTCGGCTGGTTAGTCACTCGGAGGTTGCGTTGAGCAGGTTTGCGAGTCACTCGAGGGTTGCCTTGGCAGTTCCGACGGTTGCGTGTAGGCAGAACTCAGAGGGGATGGGCAAAGGTCGGAGGAAGTGGCTTGACGCCGGAGTGTGAACATGGCATGCAGGATAAAAGCAAATACACTTTTTAAGTTTTCAAGATGTTTTGGGCTTTGGCGATTTTGCAAAACGTTTGTGGACGAGACGCACGATTACCAATTAAGACTAAAAAGGCATGTTAATGAAAATAGCAAACGTTTACCAAATCAGTAAAACGGACCGGACGTTTGACCTGTCTGCCGCGTCGGTCGGTTGCCTGGGGTTGAGGCGGGGTTGGTTGAGGGTCAAGGGGAACGAAGGGTTTCGGGATATCGAGCGATTGGGAAGTCACCGCAGATGTGGGTGCTTGTGTGATAGCATCAGCATGGGTTGCAAGTGGTTTGTCAAAGAAAGTCACTTTGTGGCGGTCGATGGACACCGTTGTTCAGTGACCATTCTAGTCTAAAGTAACATGTATCAGAGTCCGTTGCAGGACTCTGAAAGGGCCAGTGTAGGGAGTCTATAGAGGGCGCTACTCTGCGTCGGTGCGGAGGAAGACGTGAGTGCAGGTAGAGAGTCCGCGATGCATTTACCTATCTCTAGTCTGCTCACGGGGCAGAGTCGGGCGTAGTAAACGCATGTGTTGAGCTGGGGAGGACGCGAGGTTAGGCGGAGGCATACCTGACGATGCGGGAGGCGAAACGAATTCTCCTGACAACTTTAGTGTTGTGCCGTAAACCAGCTCTGCTGGTGCACACTGCAAGTCAGCTTTGATGCTGCTGCGAATACCTAAGAGTACGAGCGCAACGTTTTCGCTCCAGCTAGGGTCGGAGGAGGCGCAGAGCGAGGCTTTTAGCTGTCCATGGAAGCGTTCAACTAAACCGTTGACTGCTGGTATGCCTGTGGTATGAATGCGCTGACAGCCAAAAGGTTGCAGAATGTATCGAATTGTGAAGATTCGAAAGGCGTTCTTCTGTCAGTTGTACTGTTGGATGGGCATCCGTAGTGCGAAACGCACCGATCTAAGAAGGCCTGGATAACAGTCTCAGCTGTACAGTCTGTTACGGGAATGGCTTCTGGTCATCTGGTGAAGCGGTCGACACATGTATGTATAAGAATCCGCGTGAAGGAGGCAAGGGACCTACATGGCCTAATTGTACATGCGAGAGCCGAGTCCGAGGCGGAAAATGAACCAAGAGGACTGCGGGTGTGACGATGTATTTTGGAGCGCTGGCATTGAAGGCGGGCGCGAGACCAGTTACGAACATCTTTGTTTACGCGTGACCAAACGAAACGTTCGGTGACCAGTTTCAAAGAGGCACGGATACCGGGATGTGATAGTGAGTGCAGTGCGTCAAAGACTGCGTCTGAAGGAGATGGGCACGAGGGGTCTAGGACAACCTGTGGAATTGTCACAGCGAATGGTTCCTTCCATGATTTGGAGAGGAACAGGTTGCACATGCAGCGAAGTGGACTATAGAGTGCGTTGTATGTCTTCATCTTGGGCCGATGCCATGGCGGCAAGGTCGACGGTAGGCAAAGACTGGGGACTGAGGTGGACCCGTGAGACCGCATCGGCGACGGGATTGTCGACACCTGAGACATGACGTATGTCAGCAGTGAACTGCGTGACAAAGTTTAGTTGTCTTGTTTCCTGTTGTGAATATTTGTCTCAAGCAGAGTTGAAGGAGGAGGAGCATGTGGTCAGTCTAGACCGTGAAGGAGCGGCCTTCGAGTGTGTGCCGGAAGTGAGGAATAGCTAAAGAAATGTCCATCAGTTCTCTGCCACACGTGCTGTAGCGGGATTCCGCTGACTGCAGGCACTTGGAGAAGAGCCCAAGGGTTACCATTGCCCCGTCGAAACGAGACTGAGTCTTAACCTAGTGCGACGGTTTGCGTACCTTCTTGACCCATTGAGCTATACTGGGTGGTGCTTCCGGCCTTTTGAGAGCTAGTCATACCGGGTTAGTCAATCGTGAGTGGTCAAACAAACTCAGTCTCCTAGTCATCCAGGCCAACCTGTAGGGGGTTTGAAATGGGATGGCGTCCATTTCTGTAAAACTAGATCATTGCTACCTCACCGCTGCCTTGCGGACAGGCTTTTCAGCCAAACGACTTGCATGAGGACCCTAATCATCTTCCTGTCTAGGTCTGGGCGCCCTGGCAGTATCTCAGCCCACATACAACCATGACTTTTTCTCCAAACTCTAACTACATCCTGCATCGACCGTCGCGAAGATTATCAAAAGTCGCCTTATCTGCTGCATACAGCAGGGCATATAAGCGAAAACATGCTAATGCTGGCGCCTCCCTTCTTTCTTTTCCATCTGTTTCTCTTAATCCCATCCCGCACTCATTACTAGCCTTCGTTCCATTATTCTCAGCTTAATTGACAGCAACCGAAGTGCCACTGGAGTAGAACCATCTGCAGCCACCTTTTCGCGACACACACTGGACGCCTATCGGCAGCAGTCCTTTATAAGGCCATGCTGTCCCGTTTCCACGGCGACGTTCAACGTTCGCATTCTAAAACAAAGAGATCAGCAGGCTGCACTCACACACATCTTGGGCACACTGGATATTTATGTGTGCTGTGTGTCCAAAACTAGAATCAATGACCCTAATGGGGTTGTTGAATTAACTGCACCCTGCTTATCCTCTGATTATTGGTTGCACGCATTCGGAGACGCCGATGCGGCACTCACGGGTCAAGCTGGCGTAGGTATCATTTTAAGTTCCAAGGCTCAGCCATTGTTGGTTGATTGGATTCGGGTGAACAGCCGTTTATGTGCAGCGCGTTTGACGACATCAGCTAGGGTTGATTCACGAAGTAGTACAACACGCTGTTTGTTCGTGATTTCCGCTTATGCTCCCACGGACTGCAGTTCTAATACTGTCAAGGACACATTGTATCACGGACTGAACGCGTTATTACGCAGTGCTACTAGTTCAGATATTATGGTCCTTGTAGGGGATATGAACGCACAAGTGCCACTTAGCGTCCTCCTGTAGCTGGGCAGCGATAGACCTAAATTGATCACACTGCCGTGAGTTACAGGTTGCGTGATTGTATCCTGTATTTTCGCTCGTAGTGGAATACCTGCGTTGACTCTGATCATGGCTTGGTACGCTGTCGTTTCTCCATGAACATTAACGGGAGGCGCATCAAGCATCTAACTGATTGGCAATTGAGAAATTGTCACATCCCGAGGTCAGTCAAGCTTAACAAGACGCACTACCTACTGAACTTTCGCCGTCTCGTCCGAAAGACACTGAGCTTCAGTAGGATAGGATCTCGGCCCATATGCACGACGCAAGATCATCTGCTTGTGGCACTATCAATCGTCACCGCACCAATCACTGGATATCCGGGAGGTCGATGAACCTGTTGGGACCTAGTGGAAGCCTACCGGCTGGCTCTGAGCAAAATGTGATCAGACGGGCTATTAGGCGCGAACTAAAGCGGAGCCTACGTGCTGTCTCGGAAGCCTAGTGGACCAGTCGGGCTCAAGAAATGGAGGAGACAGGATCAGTAGGCCATTAGCGCAAGCTCTTCCAGTTGATCCGCACCACTGGGCCTAGGAAACATGGCGTTCGTGAGACAATCAGAGACAGCGCGGGTGCACTGATACACAATAAGGAACGCCGTATGGCTCCTTTGGCGGAACACTTGCACGATCAGTTCAGCTGACCCCTTGCTCCCCGACCTCTTCCTCCTAACATGAAGCAGGAAGAGCGATGGACTGTCAGTTTAGAGCCTCCGTCGGAGGCCGAGGTCCGAAACGCGATCACAGCCCTCAATCGTTTTCTTGCCGCTGGCCCGGATTCTCTCACACCTGCACTATTTAAGGATGGAGGTGAGGTCCTCTGCAACGCACTGACCTACCTATTCGAACGTATCTGGAAGGAAATGTCCCGGCTAATTGGAGCGAATCGATTATAGTGGCCATGTACAAGAAGGGTAGTCGCACAGACTGTTCTAACCACATAGGGTATTAGCCTTACGTCAGTTGTGACAGAATTACTGACTTCGATTCTCGTTCATCGCCTCGCTGTGGAACGGGAATCTCTTATTAGGGAAGAGCAGGCCGGTTTCCGCCCAGGGCGTGGTTGTATAGATCATATATTCACTCAGCGGCAAGTGCTAGAGCATCGCCACGCATACCGCAGACCGACAATAGCTGTGTTCCTTGATTTCCTTGATTTGAAGAGTGCGTTCGATTCAGTCGATCGAACAATTCTGTTCGAAATACTGGCGCGGAAAGCTGTTTCCATGAAATATGTGAACATCCTACGTGCTATATATTCGAACACTACAGGCTGCGTTAGAGTCTGCGGCGGCATATCTGATAGCCTTCCGACCACAAATGTCGTTCGTCAGAGTTGTCTGATTTCGCCATTTTTGTTCAGTTTCTTCATGGGTTCTATCACGGACTGTTCCCTTGCGGAATCTCACGATGTAGGGGTTTAGATCCTGCCTGGTGAAAGATTAGTTGATCTTAACTATGTGGACGACATCGTCTTGCTTTTCGACGGTCTTGCGGTGGCACAATAAACTGAATAGCTTGTCTAGAATGGTCCCATTATTTGGTATGCGCTTTGCACCTTCAAAGTGCAAAGGGTTGCTTCAGGACA